ACCGACCACGTGCTCAACACTCATAGCGCTCTGTTGGATGGGCGTTCTGTCGACCTGAAAATTGACCCGCTGGTGATTCCGGTATTCGATGGGAGGATGTGTAATTGGCTTGCGTTTAAGGACGCATTTGAGACTCTCGTACACAAGTCCTCCTATCCAGAAGCGTTCAAATTAGGGAAGCTTCGGCAATCTGTCAATTCAAAGGAGGTCCCGCTCATAGGTGGTGTTTATTCGGGTGGCTACGAGGAGGTTTGGCGCGCGTTAAAGGACCGTTATGATAACAAAAAGCAACTCGCAGAAATCCATGTGACGCGGTTCCTTAACTTAAAATTGTCGACAGAAGAATCGGCCAAGTCTTTGCTTGCCATTGTGGACACGGTTCACGAGTCGCTACGCGCGTTGCGGGTTATGGAGGTGCCTGTCGATAAATGGGATGCATTGGCAGTTCCCATCGTTACCTCCAAGCTACCTACTATCACGAAACGCGAGTGGTCTATGCGTTGTTCTTCACATGAGATACCGCTGTTGGAGGATTTGCTGAAATTTCTAGAAAAAAGAGCACATAGCCTATGCCAGGAAACATCCATTGAGTCGGTGCGATTGCCGCGAACAGTAAAATCTAACGTGGTTTCCACGGTGGATGGGAAGTGTGCCCATTGCCATGGCATTCATCGTATCACGAGATGTCCCACCCTTGCAGCAATGTCGCCCGGGGCACGTTTTGAGGCGGTTAAGGGATCGAAGCTTTGTTATAATTGCTTAAGGGCTGGACATTCGTCGAAACAATGTTCTTCTGGTGGTTGCCGTAATTGCGGTCGACAGCATAACACGCTGTTTTGTCGCGAGAGCCAAACAGGAGTAGCAGCTTCAGGCTCCCAGTCCAGCTCAAAGGTCATCGAGGCTACCCCGCAAGCTGTCCAGCCTGCTCCAAACTTATGACTAACCTCGCCAATGACAACCTGCGTTGCCCAAGCCAGACCTACGATTCTGTTGGCAACAGCGCGTGCATACATCTATGGGAATGCAGCAGTTCAACGATTGGTTCGAATTTTGTGCGATCCAGGTTCGCAGGTTAGTTTTATTAAAGATCGCTTAGCTAAATCATTGAGATTAAAAATACACAAATGCGAATTGAATGTAGAGGGGATTGGATCGAGTATTAGTACTCGAACTACGGGTAGTGTTATTGTAACCATAAAGTCATTGCATTCAAACTTTGAAACCAAAATCAACGCTTTGGTGATCCCGTCAATCACATCGGACACTCCTGCCGTGCGTTTAGACGTTAACCAGTGGCAACACCTGGCTGGCCTCGATATGGCCGATATATATTTTGGTACACCTGGGGCTATAGACTGTCTCATTGGAGCTGATGCCTGGGGTAGAATCGTGGAGGGTGACATCATCGGTGGCAGACCAGATGAACCTTATGCTCAACGCACTCGCCTTGGTTGGGTAGTTTTTGGTCCAGCGTCAAAAGTTTCGTCGAAGGAGAACTCATCTCTCGTGCTCAGCGCAAAGCTAGTCGAGGATGATTTGGTGCTGGAAGAATTAGTTCACAATTTTTGGAAGCTTCAGGAGGTCCCCGTGTGTGCATCAGACGATGATGATGAATGTGGTCGAATATTTGCAGCCACACACTCCCGTACTAGTGATGGACGTTACATGGTGCAGCTGCCGTTCCGCCGCGATGCACCGAGACTTGGCGAATCATATGCGCACGCCCTTCGCCTATTTCAACGCCTAGAAAGACGTCTCGTTGGTGACTCTGAGCTTAAAGATAATTACACTAAGTTCATGCGTGAGTACGTAAGTCTTGGCCATATGGAACCCGTAAATAACGTAGGTGATCACACCAACGGCTACTACATTCCCCACCACGCTGTAACCAACAAATTTAGAGTGGTGTTCAATGCATCGGCACCAACTAGTACTGGCGTGTCACTAAATGAGTTGCAAATAGTGGGCCCGACCATCCAAGACTCGCTCATCAATATAATTTTACGTTTCCGACGCTATAGGGTGGCCCTAACAGCCGACATTGAGAAAATGTTCCGGCAGGTACTCGTTGCCCCCATACACCGAGACTTCCAACGGATCCTTTGGCGTGAGTCACCCTCGGATGAACTCAAGGTATATCGACTCACAACGGTTACGTATGGTATGGCGTGCAGCCCGTATAATGCCATACGTGCACTCCAACAATGTGCACGCGACAATCACAACGTAATATCGGACCACCGGCAAGCCGCGAAAGCGCGCGATACCATTTTAACGTCATTTTACGTTGACGATTTTTTGACCAGTTGTGAGAACGCAAACGACGCTAAGGTCTTAGCTCACAATGTTGATGAAATTCTCTCCGCTGGGAAATTTACATTGAGGAAATGGAACTCCAATGATGCTGAGGTAATGGAATACTTGACCGGTAACATTTCTTCCTCCGCAGGTTTAGAAATAAACCCTCCTACGGCTTCCGTTCTTGGATTACGGTGGGATGCTGCCGCTGACCAGTTCGTCTTCCAGGTGGTTCTCAAGCAAGCAGGTCCTACCCCAACTAAACGACGGGTTCTCAGCGAAGTTGCTCAGCTTTTTGATCCCACGGGCTTTTTGGCACCGGTGGTGGTCCAGGGTAAGGTGTTTATACAGCGAATGTGGTCCGCTGGTCTTTCGTGGGATGCACCGTTGTCTGATGATCTTCGCGACGATTGGATAAACTATCGGTCTAAGCTGGAGATACTCAACAAAGTTCGTGTGAATCGATGGTTAGGCATGGCGCCCGGTGTGCAAACGACTTTACACGGCTTCTGCGATGCTAGTTCGCAAGCTTACGCAGCAGTGATTTACACAAGAACTGTAGGCGCAGGCGAAAGAGTACAACTCGCATTGCTGACAGCGCGCACTAAGGTGGCTCCACTTAAGGGATCTACCATACCACGTCTCGAGCTCTCGGCAGCGCTCTTGTTGGCAGAAACACTCCAAGCAGTAAGAAGCGCTTTGGGGTTGATGAACGCCCCCTATTATTTGTGGTCGGATTCGTCGATCGCTCTTTGTTGGATAAAGAAACAGCCAACAACGCTTAAGCCATATGTATCGAATCGAGTACGTCAGATCCAGGAGCTCACTTCGCCCGATCGATGGCATCATATCCGGTCGGCACAGAACCCCGCCGACTGCGCGAGTAGAGGCATATCACCCCTCGAACTGCTGGAGCATCCGCTATGGTGGCAGGGCCCAAGCTGGCTGGAGAAAGACATCCCTGTAAGAAACAAAGCGCTTCCCCTACTTGGGGACGAAGCGAATACAGTAAGTGCCGAAGAGCGCATCATTTCATGCACTGCAGTTATCAGTGCTGCGCGATCTATTGAAACACGACAACGTGATGGTAAGGTCATACTACTCACCGAGCGCTTCAGTTCCATCCAACGCCTTCTAGGTACGGTGGCCATTATCCTGCGATGGCTTAGTTCACGTCAACATCTGCGTAAGCGGGTTATAGGTGCAAGAGAATTCGACGATGCATTAGACGTTTTGATTCGTATGGACCAAGAGGATGCCTTTAGCAGTGAGGTCAAGCAGCTGAAGAGTGGAAGACACATCGCACACTCCAGTCGACTTATGCCGTTGAATCCCTTACTTGATGACAAGCACATGTTGCGAGTGGGTGGACGCATTCAAAGGGCTGACTTATCATACGAGCGGCGTTTCCCAATCCTCTTGCCGAGATCCAGTCCTCTGGTCACGCTACTCGTCCGACAAGTTCACGAACAAACCCTTCACGGGGGAACGCAACTGATGCTTCAGACTCTCAGACAGCGCTTCTGGATTTTGAATGCCCGCCAGGCCGTCAAAGGAGCCATCCACCGCTGTGTGATTTGTCGTCGACATCGCGGAGCGTTGTTGATGCAACAGATGGCCCCACTACCTAGGCAGCGCGTTAGCGCTGCACGACCTTTTGCTGCTTCCGGCGTCGACTATTGTGGTCCATTTATGTTGCGTACGGGAACGAAACGCTCTCGCACAGTGGTTAAAACCTACCTCGCCATTTTCATTTGCATGGCAACAAGGGCTGTTCATCTTGAAGTGGTGGACGACCTCTCTTCTCAGGCGTTCC